CGGTTCGATTCCGGGTCCGTCTGCCTTGGTCCAAGTTTTTCTGTGGTTTCCTTGGATCACTTAGGCAAATGCTGAGGCAGTAATATTCCACAGATAATCTTTCATTCTCTTCTGTCTTCATTTCGTCCATCTCATCTTTCTCACCCGAACCACCATCCACCCATTCCCACGATTCCCGAAAGCAGGCCGAAGAGGGCCTTCCGCCCTACCTTCCGGCGTAGTCCGGAGGGACTGCTCGCCCACCAGCATTACTGGCTGGTGGGAATGAAACATCCAAAAGTTAGTTTCAGTGACAAGGAGAAGTGACAATCATCAATGACAATCACAGACAAGCATATTACAAGCTTTTCGTAACATAACAGTTAAGTAATATTAATATTTTTTAGTGTTAAATTTTTATTAAGGTTGCAAGTTTGAATAAACACAGCATTGAAAAACTAACGTGAGTTGCAATCATAAAACAACAAAGTTCGTCAAACCAGGCGTCAACAACTGATTAGTATGCTAAATGGGCGAAGTGTTACAATTTCTATCGCTTTTAATTACTATGATTTTGTCACTTTGCAGATATTCAGCGGGCTCGTTTCAAGGTTTCAACTCAACCCTTTCGCTGAAATTCCACCAACCAAGAGTTAAAATTTCATTGGTTGATTGTTTGAACGAGGGCTTAATGTGGTTTAGAATGTTGGTGAGGACGGTATTTAATAGAAAGCCCGATAGAACGAAGGCATGCACCGTTAACCGTATTGGTTTTGCCGGGTACCTGGTTATCCGGACCCGGTAAAATCACTATCCGATGCACTTTTAATAAAGTACAACTAATACAAAATTGGTTGCAATTTGTATTTGTTTTGGGCTTTTTCTCTATAGTACCTATATTCAAAAATATGATATTGTACATATTTCAAACAATTAAGCACCTGTCATTTGAATAAATTTATTGATTTATATCAATCAAAAATATTGATCACTATCGTTTACAATATATTGCTGTGATTTATTTTATATCGTAAGTGCTAATTGACTTCATAACACGACTGACATCAGCAATTGATTTATGTGAATTTTTTTATTTAAAAATAATTTTCTTTAAAGATTAAAACTAAAACCCGTCTAAGCTCACATAATACCCTCGTTTAAATTATCTAATTAAGTCCTTTATAAGTATTATACGTTTGTAAGATAAAATTCCTAAACAAATACCTATTTTGTAGAAAACGCGTTTGTTTTAATTAAATTATACGGTACTAGAGTATGCAAAAGCCAATGTTAATTGTGTGGAATAAATTTTGCTTTATTAATTTTCCAATTAGTCGTATTTGGATAAAAGCACACTTCTGTAAGTCGTAATTTATGTAGGTACAATTTATTAATTAGTATATTGTTCACTATTTCGTTGGTTTAAATTTGGTTGGTTGGCTTTACATTGGATAGCTGAATCGAAACCACAATAAATAATCTAATGTCTAAACGAGCACGTTAAATCAACCCCAAATAATCGTCAAATTTTACATATTTAGAGGGTGTTGTCAGCTACAATAATTAAATTAATTTGTGCAGCATTTGTGCGATTTTGATGTTTTATTGTTCGTAATCCTAACTAATATTATGAATACGAATGTCAGTTTCTGCTGGTCGCTGGTAAAACCTATGATAAAATTTTGTACATAAGTTTTCAGGGGAACAAGAAAAGGACATTGGACACCTTTTATGCAGAAAAAAAATACTGTTTCTAAGGGATAAAAATTAGTTTTATGTGATTGTCAATGATCCGTGACACGTATTTGGGACATCATGAGTAAAACCTATCATGAAGTTTTGTACACACATTGTACGGGGGTGTAGAAAAGGACATAGGGTACCTTTTATCCAGAACAAATACTGTTCCCGAGGGATTAAAAAAATAGTTTTGTGTGGTTGTGAATGCGTTTTGACACTTATGTAAGACATCAACGCGAGCGAGACCGCGAGTAAAACTTATCTTGAATTTTGTACCCACATCTTCAAGGCAAAAAAGGACATCAGGGAACCTTTTATCCAGAAAAAAATACTGTACCCGAGGGATAAAAAATTAGTTTTATGTAGTCGTGGAAGATTTTTGACACGTTTTTAGGTCATCAATGCGAATGAAGCCATGAGTAAAATCTATCATGAAGTTTTGTACACACATGGTTGGGGGTATAAAAAAGAACATAGGGTGCCTTTTATCTATAAAAAAAGTACCGTTCCCGAGGGATAGAAAAAAATACTTTTATTTGTCGTCGATGACTTTGACATGCATTTAGAACATCAACGTGAACGAAGCCACAGGTAAATCCTAGTACAGATAAATAGGAAAAAACCATTCTGCATAATTATTATCTTCTACTTACACAGATCAGTATACCTACAATAATATAGGGTGTCCCAGCATAAAATGTTATAACACTTTTGACTTTTGAAACAAAATAAAAAATTATAAAATTATAACAGTTTTGATGCCGGCCCTGCACAATCGCAAATTAACTACGGTTTCAGCTGATCGTAGAAAAATTCACCTTCAGTAGGTCGAAATCAGCTGCTTTTTGGGGTGATGTTATTGTTTATGTTTGGTATTAAGTTACGGATCAGCCGAAGAAAATGTACTCGCGTTAAGGACCATTAGATGACTGAATATGTTAGAAAAACTACGTATCTATCACAATCGAAAATCCCATGATCGTAAACTGAAGTGGACCTAATGTAGCCCATGACGTCGAGTATTATGCTATTTTAAATAGAAATTATAACGACAAGATGCAGACCTACTTTGAACAAACACTGTGTGTGTTAAACTGCTCATTCTGACGCTAGTTTTGCCTGACAGGGCTCATTAATTCCACGTGGAGTAATACAAGGGTGTGTCCAGAAGGACCAATTTTGGTTATTTTGTTTTCATTAACTAGCTAAATAAACAAAAAGCTAAATATTAATATAACCTCCTATAATTATACTGCTGGAAGTGACTGGAATAAATACACATAATGTAGTAGTTTCTAACAGGTTGTTCAGTTTTCTTTGGATTGTTGTGGAATTTACTTGTTTGTTAGTGTTAGTTTATTTATTTAGTATTTCATAAAAGACTATTACAAGAAGGACAATTAGTAGTGTGATAGTGCATTGTAGTAGGGTTCTTATTCAACCGTCAGTTGGTGGTGAGTTACATTAGCAATGCCTATCGAATAATTCGAAATATTCCCGGTATCTTGGTCAAAATTCGCAGCAACGTGGTACGCCGCTGTCAGTGTTGCATTGAAGCGAATGGCGGACAATTTCAACATTTTTTATAAAAGGTACGCATTTCTTTTTCACCTTTTTTTACAAGGTGGAAGTGCATTCGGCTTCTTCCCAATAGGTACTTATTACATCCACATTAGATCAGCTGAGCGACATTAGTCGCCTAGATCCAGGTCCGTAATGAAACAAATTGTACGTTCAAATTTACAAAGACGATTTGCGAGCTCAATCGTCACTAGATTGAAAAATTGTATAACACTTTTTTGTTGTATTTTGTGTCAGGAAGCCATGTTTTTTTTTTAATTACTATAAATGGGAGACCCTGTATAGTCACTTGTGCAAGCAAATATTTTTAGAATAATACGTAGTAGCTGTCAAATTCACGAGTCAATTTAACAAAAAAATAGACTGCGTATAAAATACGGTCTGTGGTTATTTTAAATGAGTCCTTATTTCAGAATTAGGCATTACTTGCGCTCATGCCCAGTTGATTGTGGTAACATATTACCAAGATTAGTAGGTACTGCATTTTTCTAAATCGGAATTGTCAACTCTAGCTTAATGTAGTGTTTGTACTGAACATTCGGCTGAAGAGGACCTTAATTGGTCCTAGAACGGCCTGAGGTAGAGGGGTTTTAGTCGGTAGGTCCGAGGACTTCTTCCTCGGGAATCCGACACTACCCAGTCGTACGGACGGCTGGGTGTCTTTTGAAGATTTCCCCTCTTCCACGAAAACATAAAAAAAAAAAAAAGGTCGACTCTATAACTGCTTCGTTGGGACATGGTTGAAGAGGACCCTAGTTGGTCCTAGAACGGCCTGAGGTAGAGGGGTTTTAGTCGGTAGGTCCGAGGACTTCTTCCTCGGGAATCCGACACTACCCAGTCGTACGGACGGCTGGGTGTCTTTTGAAGATTTCCCCTCTTCCACGAAAACATAAAAAAAAAAAAAAAAAAACTGAACATAAGTAAGGATCGTACCTCGTTTGTAGGTGACGTGACTATCAGGAGTGGACGCATTTTGTTGTTGATTAGTCGCACTGGCCGTAAATAAAATTAAGGTTGATTTTAATGAGGTAGAGGAATTTTTAACAATGAAGATGTCGGTCTAATTACGGTCCTTATATATATATATACATTGTTCATATATATATGAACAATGTGCGATCCTTAGTAGCGAGAAAATTATTTAATTGTATTACCTGTGCTCGAGCTTGCTCACCAACAAGAATTACGTCTCTTGTCGCATCGTGAAGTGGAATGTCGGAAATAAAGAGTCCACTTCCGGTTAAACTTTCGAGACCGTCGATAAAAGGTGATCCGATGAACAAAATCGAATCGGACTCGGCACAGTAAACCATTTGTCCTTTTAACTGAAGCATCTGAAAAAAATAATGAGCAAAGATGAAGTAGTTAAATCGCTAATAAATATAAAGCATAGAAAGATGAGAACCGAGTAAAAATATTACTTGTGTGTAAGTTCTTTGAGAAAGTGCATTTAGTTCACCTAATTATTACAACTCAAACTTTATACTTGTATGTACATCGTAGGAATTTGAACGACTTCGTAGTTGGAATTCTCAAGAAGGGCATTTTTACCTTTTTATGAACATAAGTAAGTTCACTGCACTTGCATGGCATGTTCATCGATTTTTTGGTATTATCTACAGAATAGTGTGTAAGAGCATACGTTGTTCATGGTGTTGTATCTATTGTATTAGGAAATTGTTTTTGGAAAAGTGCCTTTTTAAGAATAAGTGATATGGAAATAAAACTACGTCGTAAACTGGCAATTATTGTGGTAATACAAACAGTGTATTAGAAGAAAGAAATCGTATAATTTAAGTAATTAATTTAATTGATAATACAAAAGAATAGCTTATTTTCAAGAAATAATAGTAAGAAATCTTGTTCTCCGACGATTAGAGTAATGGAAGTGAAGAAAAATTGCAAGGTGAAGCGAAATGGATCTGACAGATTAAAGATTAAACTGCACCTTTGATTCTCATCTTCTCGCGATAATGCGCTGACAGGTAATACTTCAATTTTATTGAAATTTATGAGTGAATATCCGGGAGAATAATAATATTACCCTTACGAATTATTTTCAAGTTTACTTCATCAAGTCATTTCTTTGTAATTTTATACGTTTCTTTTTAAATAACATTTCTTTTAAAATTTAACGTTGCAAAAATGGCTGGAGTAAAACGTCTCTTGTGATCTGGCTATTTACTGCTTCTCAGAAATATATCCGCTCGCTTCTGATCACATTTTACTTTCCTTTTAGTTTTACTTTTCGGACTTGTTGTTTAGCGGACATATAAATTCGTGGAATATGTTTTGTAAATTTCAACATCACTTCTGAATCTCGTTCTGCTGCGAATCAGTCCTGTTGTAACTCATATGTCCTTGTTAATTTAAATTTTTCAGCATCTTCGTGTTTATTTTCAATCATCATCATCATCGTCATAAGGTCGTCAGTTCTAAGACTGGTTGGACACGCACCTCCACCCTTTCCTATCCTGACCTAATATTTACATTTCCCTAAAACTAGAACAACCCACATCCTTAACTATTTGCGAACAGTAACCTAATCTAGGTCTACCTCTCCCCCTCCTCCGTTTCTGCCTCTAATACGTCTCTAACTAGGCCTTCATGCCTGATCGGTGCCCTACAAACCTAATTCGCCTATTTCTTATTGACTTCCATAGTGTCCTCTGTTTTCCTATTCTCTCTAATACCTCTTCATTTCTAACCTTCTCTATCCACGGTATCCTCATCATTCGTCTGTAACACCACATTTCGAACGCTTCTAACCTTTTCTTTTCCGCCGCGCCCACTGTCCATGTTTCGCACCCATACAATTCCGCGCTCCAAACATGCACCTCCAAAACCTTTTTCGAATTTCCAAATTAACCGTTAGCGAGCCACTGCTTTTTATTAAAAGCGACGCGACCCTGTGCTATCCTCTGCTTTATATCCCTACTACTCCTTCCGTCCTGACTTATCTGACTTCGTAGATACCTGAAATTGGTCACTTCTTCTAATTTTTCGCCTCCTATCTTTATACTCGCTCTTTCCCTACCTTTTCTTACCTTGCATCCCTTGTTTTACTTTTATTTATTTTCATACAGTATTGTTTTGTCAATACCGCTTCCGTTTTATTTAAAACTATCTCTAACTCTAATCAAAGCATACTAATCTTTTGCCTCTGTATACCTATCCCTACAGTTGTGATGTCTTTAATGGTGTTGATCGCGTCTTCGATGTATAGATTGAAAAGTAACGGTAACAGTGTGCATCCCTGTCTGACTTCCTTCCTAATATTTACTTCTCTACGTTGCTGCTTCAACTCTATAAGTGCCTGTTGATCTTTAAACAAACTAAGTATCACTCTTTCTATCTTTGTAACTTTTAAGTATATTTAACATCTTGTCCCATTTAACATTGTCAAAAGCTTTTTCTAAATCTACAAGTCCTATGAACGCACTCTTTCTTTTTTCTATCGTTTTCTCTATTGTTACCCTAAAGCTAGAATGGCCTCCCGCGTTCCTTTATTTCTTCTAAACCCAAATTGATTTTCCCTAATAGTTCTTCCGCCCTTTTTTCCATCCTCCTCTGTACAATTCTAGTTAAGATTTTTGAAACATGGGAAGTTAAGCTAATTGTTCGAAATGTCTCACACCTATCCGCGCCTCTCTTTTTAGGTATTTTCAATAATGCAAAATATTTAATATCTCCAACTGGTTATTTGTTCATTCTCATTAATATAGGGTCAATTGAAAAGTCCCCGGCCTGACACATAGATGGCGGCACCAGAACTAAATCCATATGATTTTCAGTTAGTCCTAACCTTCAAAAGACGCGTCTATAAATTTGACGGCTGTCGGATCATTAGTTTGTGAATTATAGCATTTTTAGTGAAGCAACTTTTGTTATTGTGAAAAAAATGGATAAAAAGGAATTTCGCGTGTTGATAAAATATTGCTTTTTGAAGGGAAAAAATACAGTTGAAGCAAAAACTTGGCTTGATAACGAATTTCCGGACACTGCCCCAGGAAAATCAACCATCAAGGATTGGTATGCTAAGTTTAGACGTGGTGAAATGAGCACCGAAGACGGTGAACGCAGTGGACGCCCAAAAGAGGCTGTTACGGACGAAAACATTAAAAAAATCCACAAAATGATTTTGAATGACCGTAAATTGAAATTGAATGAAATAGCAGACACTCTACAGATATCAACGGAACGTATACATCACATCATTCACGAATATTTGGGTATGAGAAAGCTCTGTGCAAAGTGGGTGCCGCGCGAGCTCACTTTTGACCAAAAACAACGACGAGTTGATGATTCAGAGCAGTGTTTGAAGATGATCACGCGTAATAAACCCGAGTTTTTGCGTCGATATGTGACAATGGATGAAACATGGCTCCATCATTTCACTCCGAAGTCCAATCGACAGTCATCGGAGTGGACTGCACACGATGAACCCGCTCCAAAGCGTGCAAAAACGCAACAGTCGGCTGGCAAGGTTATGGCGTCTGTATTTTGGGATGCGCGTGGAATAATTTTCATTGACTACCTTGAAAAAGGAAGGACCATCAACAGCGACTATTACATAGCGTTATTGGACCGTTTGAAGGACGAAATCGCCGAGAAACGACCGCATTTGCAGAAAAAGAAAGTCCTGCTTCACCAAGACAATGCACCGTCTCACAAGTCAGTGAAAACGATGGCAAAAATTCATGAATTGGGCTTCGAATTGCTTCCGCATCCACCGTATTCTCCAGATCTGGCCCCCAGCGACTACTTCCTGTTCTCAGATCTCAAAAGAATGCTCGTTGGGAAAAACTTTTCGTCGAATGAAGAGGTGATCGCCGAAACTGAGGCCTATTTTGAAGCAAAGGACAAATCGTACTACAAAAATGGTATCGAAAAGTTGGAGGATCGCTATAATCAGTGTATCACCCTTGAAGGGAATTATGTTGAATAAAAGAAACTAATTTTGCAAAAAAATGTGTTTTACTATTTTAGGCCGGGGACTTTTCAATTGACGTGTTAGTTTCGTTGAATTTCAACTTTCATTGTATCGTTATAATATATTTACAACAGTTACTACATTCTTTTTTGTATCCCGTTCATAACTTCATGTTGCCCTAAAATTTCTCTTAAGATTGTTTTTTATGTTTTCTTCAGTTTTCACATCTTGCCTTTGTCACCTATTACTACAAAATATCATTCGATCTGGACTAGTGATACGTAAAGGAAGATTTTTTGTCTTGTTTACTAATTACTTATCTTGTTCGTTAATAACTTGTCTTGTCTTTCATAGCAGTACAAAAAATTTTACTTTTTGACTTATCAGTTCCTTGCTGATTTGATTCTTGTTTAGGTACTAGCAAGACTCTTCTTGTTTCTAGTGTTTACTATAGCTTTCGTCATTTATCTTTAAAAATTGTGGATTTGTATGCAAAAAGCAACAACTGTTACTTATTGCTAACTTCTTTGCAAGAAATCTCATTTTTGTTAAGCGAAGTTATAGTCATAAAATTTTTGTGTTTGTTGCAACAAAAAGCAAGAAAATAATAAGAAGTTCGTGAAATACTAACCTAGACCAAAGTCTCAGTTTTACTTTCACTTACACCCTGATGTTACTCAATTTTTGTAAGCATGTTTCAATTTTCTCGCTGGTTCGTAACACGTTTGCTTTTTTTCCAACGGATTAGGTTGAGTAAGGTTCTTGCAACATTTCTATTTGCATACGTTGTCTCATTCTCTCATTTTCTCTCTGATGTTGGATTTTACGAAGAGAATTTTTATCCTTCAATTATTTGCTCATCATGTTCTAACAGAAAGTTTTTATCAAGACAAGAAGCAAATTGCGTTTAGTGGTGTATGACAGGAAAAAAGATTAATCTCGTTGGAAGAGATCTGGATTGACAAATTATACATTTATACGTAAATTAATGTAAGCATCGTATTCTCTTTCAACAGTTTCAACATAACTGGAACGATAGCTGTAAATTTCATAACGATGCAGTTTAGTGTAACGGAGTTAGTTGGCAATTTCAGCATATTTGTAATGCACTTCGTCGTTGGCATAATATCGTCTTACAGGCGTTCGTTTTCTTCTCGACAAAAAGTCGTACAACCATTGAAGCGGTATAATAGCAAGAGCGTCTCTGGGGACTAACTTTATTACGGTGCGGATTTAACATTGAATCGGAAGTATGCACACATTTCGACATGCAAATAACGTTGATAAGGTTTTATGATCGGTGGGGGAGCTTACTCCTGTTCTGTTCCAGATTATGACACGTGTGTATGTATAGGTGTGTGTATACATATAATTTTAGTACTGAAAATACAACATGGGTGACGTATACGGGATATATCTCATGAAAAATAAAGTCTGATGTTCGATTGAGGTCGACAGTCGAAGATTGCTAGGTCTCTTAGGCGATAAGTGAATGTAACACATTACCATCATAAGGTCGTCAGTCCTAAGACTGGTTGAACACGCACCTCCACTTTTTCCCTTTCTGAGCTAATTTTCGCATTTCCCTAAAACTAGAACAACCCATATCCTTAACTATTTACGAACAGTAATCTAATCTAGACCTACCTCTACTCCTCTTAACTCCTGTTCTACCTCTATGTCTCTGACTAGACCTTCATGCCTGAGAAGGTGTCCTACCAACCTATCTCGTTTATTTCTTATTGACTTCCATATAGTTCTGCTATCCTCTTCATTCGCCTGTAATACCACGTTTCGAATGCTTCTAATCTTTTCTTTTCCGCTGCGCCCACTGTCCATTTTTCGCACTCGTACAGGGCCGCGCTCCAACCATACACCTTTAACAATCTTTTTCGAATGTTTAAATTAATCGTTCGCAAGCATAGATATAACTTCTTTTTTTTTTGAAGGCGACTCGATCCTGCGCTATCCTCTGCTGTATATCCCTACTACCCCTTCCGTCCTGATTTATCAGATACCTGAAATCGGCCACTCGGCCACTTCTTTTAATTTTTCGTCTCCTATCTTTATATTCGCTCTTTCCTTACCTTTTCTTCCCTTGTATACCAGTATTTTTGTTTTACTTTCATTTATTTTCATATACTACTGTTTTATCAATACCGCTTCCATTTTATTTAAAGCTATCTCTAACCCCTCCTTGCTAGATTCTAATACTGCTATATCATCTGCAAATCTAATCATACTAATCTTTTGTCCCTGTATATCTATCCTTATAGTTGTACTGTCTTTAATAATGTTGATCGCGTCTTCGATGTCTAGATTAAAATATAGCGGTGACAGTGTGCATCTCTGACGGACTTCCTTCCTAATATTTACTTCTCTACGTTGCAGCCCCATCTCTATAACTACTTGTTTCTCTTTATACAAACTAAGTATCACTGTTCTAATCTCTGTAACTCATCCCTACATCTATTCCAAAAAATGGATCAAATTTTTTGTGAAAAACAAAATTAAGTGCGCGGACCTATTCCGAATGTTAAGTGTGACAAATGGTGAAGCTACCTTGGACCGAAGCAACGCTGATCGGTAGTACCAAATGTTTTCATAGGGGCGAGAAGATGTGAACGACGAAGAACGTGCCGGACGCCCGAACAACAAACGAACAGATTGAAGAAGTGAAGAAAATAGTATTAGCCAATCGTCGAATCACCGTTAATGAAGTTGCTGAGGGCTTAAGCATATCGATTGGCTCCTGCCATTCGATTTTTATCAATGATTTGGGTATGGACGGGTCGGCACAATATTCGTACCAAAATTGCTCAAATTTGACTCGCATTAACATTGCTAAGGAACTGTTGAACTCTGTCCGCGACGACCCTAGTTTGCTCTAGAGGGTCATAATTGATGACAAATCATGAGTTAATGGTTACGACGTGGAAATCAAAACTCAATCATCCCAATGGAAGCTGCCGCACGAGCCAAGACAGAAAAAAGGCGTCATGTTAGGTCAAATGTGAAGGTTTTGCTTACAGTTATTTTCGATTAGATGGGTGTGGTATATTGTGAGTTCTTTCTACGGTCAATAAGAAATATTACCTGCAAGTTATGCGCAATTTGCGAGAAGCAATCCGCCAGAAACGCCTTAATTTGTGAAAGAACAAAAATTGGCTTTTGCATCATGATAACGCCCCTGCTCACACATCATTGCTTGTGCGCAATTTTGACCAAAAACAACCCACCAATAATGCCGCAGCCACCGTATTCCCCAGATCCGGCCCCCTGTAACTTTTTCTTGTTTCCGAAGCTGAAGAGGCCCATGAGAGGACAACGTTACGCAACGATTGAGGAGATAAAAGTGGCACCGAAGGAGGAGTTGAACAAGATCACAAAAAATGATTTTTTGCAGTGATTCGAGGATTTGAGAAAACGTTGGCACAAGTGTATAATATCTGGTGGGAATTACTTTGAATGTGACAAAATAGACATTCATGAATAAATAATTTTTGAAAAAAAACAAAATTCGCGATACTTTCTGAACAGACCTCGTATATAAATTCCACGTAACTAGAAATTCCATTACATATCACTTCTGTAACATTTGTAAGAAATAGGACAAGAGAAATAAAAGGAACTGCCTTAGATTACTAAAGGATTACATCAGATAAAATTGACTTACTTTAGCTGGAAACTTGTCCTCCATGCCAGGTGGACGTCGAAGGGCCAGCAAAAAGGACGTGTTGGCCCTTTTGATTATCTCATTGAAGGAAAGACTGAGATTGCGAGGCCGATTAAATTTGAAGTACGTGGGCACAGACGTACCGCAAGTCCTTAGAGCACTACCGAACATTTTCATAAAACCTAAACCCAATTGTACAAGCTCCAGCTTCCTGTCCATGACAAAATGCCACGGAAATGCTTTGCAGAAGGTCCGTACGCTCAGTTGGAACTCCGGAGGCGAAAACGACCCGCTTCTTGAAACCCACTGGTCGTTATCCTTTTCAGTTGTCCTAATTTTGTACCTGACGGCAAAAGAATTTATCAAAGTAAGTAGACCATTTAGTAAAAAGAAATACAGGGTTCTTCAAACTGAGTGGTACATTAGACGTTTTAGGAAAACAAAGCGTGTAGGAGATCTGAAAATTTGGATGATATTTTTAACTAAAATAATTTCAACTATTTGCAGCGTAAACTTTGTTATTTCAAATGGGATAGTATATGTTTTATGACGAATTCATACGAAACATAAAATTTTAAGGTAATTTTGAAAAATAACTTGTATGTCTACGATGAACAGTTTCTGAGATAAAATAATTCGAAGTGGTCTGTATTCTGTCAAAACTGCCAGACGCGGACCGCGATTTCGATCTTTTTGGATCTCATCAGCGCGAAGCAGGCAGTTACGTAATCTTAAAATGTAGCATTGTACTATAGATGGCGTTTACAGCGCCATTGGTCGTATTTTCTAGTTTCTGAGATAATTTAATTTATAGACAAAAACATCGATATACCGCAACCCAAATTATAACATATCATAACTTGCACAAAAAATGACTTAGACTGTTGAAATTTTAGTTATAGTTGTATCTCACAGCTAATNTGAGGTTGATGCCGTGTTTAAATAATCATACCTATCTATTTTTATGTTGTGAAAATGACTAGCGGTTTTATAAAGTAACTGATTAACTTTGAAACATAAACTGTTTATGCTTTATCTCTTACTAATGTAAAGTGTCATTGACTAGTTGATTATATTAATTTTTAATGAGTATGTTACATTTCGATTCATTTCCTACAATTCAGCAAAGCTATGAAAATTTGACCAATAAATGAAACATTATTGATATTATACTCGAAATCTTATTTTTTTATAAATTTCTGAAATAATGTACAAGCTGAACCATCGAGAGGTGGTCTCTCACTTTTTCACTTGCGGCGCAGATGATAAACAAGAACTACATTCCGTTAGAAAAGGATTTCGCTCACGCTTGGGAGAAATATCGAAATTTACAAGGGGTTGATCGTTGGGAACACACTATTTACTCCAACCTTATGTAATTTTATTCTGCTTATTTAATCTAACGTTTCCCAAATGGTGTTCTGCGGAACCTTGATGTTCCTTGGCGGGGTCACAGGGGTTCCGCGAGATACTACGTTTGTTGTTCTAGTAAAAATATACAAAACGAACATCTATTGAAACTCAAAAATCCTTGAAGAAGTATTTTCCAAAGGAGTCACAGGATAGGCACAACCCATTGCATACAATCCATTCGCAAATTAGACTNATTTATTTTAAAATTCCAAATAAACATAATTTGCTTTATTCAAAGTTGTTGCAATTTATAGTCTATTTTTTCGTTTCATTTCTACCACAGCTGGTAGTTTTCACAAAAGAATGAGATATTCACTTTAAATTTTTGTAGGGGTAGTTCGTCGCATTACTGGTATTAGAACAGCAATAAAAGCTGTAGTTTACAGCAAACAACGAATTACACAAATGATCACGACCTTTTTAAATCTGTTTTTTGTTTGAATAATTAATCATGCAGCTTCAATTTGTGTTATTTAATAGTTTCAATAAAAAAAGTCTACTTTGATTTATCGTTTGTTTGATGTGTTTGTTGTAATCTGTTGGCGATGTATATGGCGGTATCCCGCCGAAGGCTCTTTTGGTTAATTTTCTTCGAATTAATAGACTGCTTTTCTTAATTGCACTTTATTTACACTATTTACACTTTATTTCTTGATTTTGATATATAAATTGATTGATTGAAGTCGAATTGTAATTGTTGTATAGTTTGATTTTGTTTGAATTTGGTTTTGTTTTAATTTGAATTTGGTTTTAACTTGTAATTGAATAGAATGAATAATAATGAATATCTATCTTGGTCCAGGACTTAAATAGTCTACACCAAAATAGGACACGCCTCTTAGTAACAGACCCCTTGGTCAATGCTACTTTTGTTGCTATGCACCCTTCAGGTACCCAGAGAAAGTCCGGCGTGACGTAGTTGGGAACTCGGACTTTCCCAACATTTGGTACCTACCTGAAGGGTGTAATAAAGAGGCCCAAAGCTGTTTGCAACACAAAATTTGAAGTTATATAGAATTACAAGTAATAGATATGATATACAGTTATATACAAAAAAAATACAAACTAAAATAACTATAAAAAATATAAACAAATATGAACACATCGACACCGAACATCGTTATCCATAAAATAATAAATATACAAAACACGAGTTGATGAAAACAGCATGCTTTTTGTGGAAGAAGACCTTTTTAAACAGTAGTCCATTAGGCAACAGAAGAATTTAATTGAGTGAGTTGAATAAAGTGATGTTGACAAATCTTTTAGTTGCGAGCTAAAAACAGACGAGAGGAATGGAATCATTTGGGACAGCGCTGGATGGCTGTTTTCTTTTTTAATTTAACAAAAAATAATTAAAAATACTGGAATTATATTAGCTTCTATTCGACTGATTAATAAGTAGGGAAAAATGCCGTTCCTGCTTTAAATAGGGCAAAAATATAATTTTCTGCCGAAAGCAGTTTACAGAAATAAATACGCTCCGTAATTTTTTGTTGTTAGTCTCATCGTGTTGGCATGGTTTTTTAGAATGAAACTTAATGAAAGGCTAATAAAGTCTCATTTATACGTTTTGTAGATTTACTGCCGGTAGGTACATAAAATGTTCGAGCTTCCCCCAGGATAATTTTGTTTAGTTATTAAGCCTGGCAAATAAATCGAGAAATTTTACGGGTATGTGACGTTCAATTTATATATTTGAAGCAAACATTCTTTTAGCAGCGTGTATTGAAGGCAAATAAGCCATCTGAAAATGTCTCACACTGCGAGAGAGACGGGTGTAATATAGTTTTATTTAAACTTTATATAAGAAGTGTGATTACATAAGTTTCAGTTTTGCTGTCAAATCACTGACTAGGTAAAGGTACATTCTAAAAATTAAGATCGATTTAAGCGATTTTAATATAGTCCACAATTGCTAATTAATATTTTTTTTGCTCACCATTCTCGAAGATATATTTATTTTGGCGCATTGAGTAAAATTTTCTTTTGAAGATTCGCCTCTTCCACGAAAACATAAAAAAAAGGGTAAAATCTTAGCATGCAACGGAATCTGCGCGCACACATCTAATGAAAATTTGATAATTTGAAGTTAACATGTGGGGTCAAAACTGATCATCATCATTATCATAAGGTCGTCAGTTCTAAGACTGGTTGGACAAGTACCTCCAGTCTTTCCTATCCTAAGCTAAACTTCGCATTTCCCTAAAACTAGAACAACCCACATCCTTAACTATTTGCGAACAGTAATCTAACCTAGGTCTACCTCTACCCTCGTAACTCCTGTTTCTACCTCTAATATGTCTCTCTCTAGACCTTCATGCCTATGAAGGTGTCCTACCAACCTACATCGCCTATTTTTTATTGACTTCCATAGAGTCCTCTGTTCACTCATTCTTTCTAATACCGCTTCATTTCTAATCTTCTCTATCCATGTTATCCGTCTCCAGCAACACTATTGGAAGTGGTATAAGATGCTCGGAAAGAACCAAATTCCTTCAAATCATTATTAGTTTCGTCTTTTATTATTTTTGTAGCATAGAAAAACGAATGATAAGGTTCTGATTTTTTAACATTTGAGGTAGCTGTCAATTGTCTACGACACTTGTTATGCCAAGGTTAGTAAAAGAAATTATTTGGAAAAACGAAATTGTTCGTTTTTGAAGTTTTCAAACTTTGTATTTCTTTCTGAACGCCCAGTATAAATTTTGAAGCTCAATTTTGGTTCAAAATTAATTAAACGGCACAACCATAACTGGTAGAAATTTCAACACTCTTGATCATTTTTCGTGGAAGTTATGATTTTTGATAATTTTCGATAACGATATTTTCTCTAGAAATTCAATTATCTCAGAAACCATTCATCATAGGCAAACAAGTTGGTTTTCAGAGTTAACGTAAAATTTTGTGTTTCATACGAATTCGTCATAAAAAATATACCACTCCACTTAACTTAAATAACAAAGTTAACATCAATTTCTGGTATAATCGGAAGCGAAATAAATTCAATTAAAAAGATCATCCTGTCAAATTTTCAGATCTGTTATTACACGCTTAGTTGCCCTAAAACGTCTAATATGTACCACTTCACTTTGAAGAACCCTGTATACGAGAGTTTCAGATAACATAAAACAGAATATTATTGAAATGTTGTCAAAAATAAATCAAAACTTCAAAGGGTGTAGTCAGGTAAACATGACCGAACTGTCCCAAATGCCACAAGTCTTAATGTTTGTTTAGAACAACTTTATCTTTACAATGTTAAACTTCAAATTGCACTAATTAATAATTAATAAATTGTGATTAAAAAAAAGATTACTTTGGTTTTGTAAATAATTTTTTAGTTACAGAACGTTAATGTGAATGTACGATTTGTTGTAGACGCTGTTGAAGCATACAACATGAAACATTGGATTTAAAATTGAACAAAATACATAGAACTTGAGCACTTCAATTTCGGTTAAAACTAAGTACATCTGCTACAAGTATTTTTTTATTTATTTTAAAANATCATCATCATAAGGTCATCAGTCCTAAGACTGATTGGACACGTACCTCCACTCTTTCCTATCCTAAGCTAAACTTCGCATTTCCCTAAAACTAGAACAACCCACATCCTTAACTATTTGCGAACAGTAATCTAACCTAGGTCTACCTCTACCCTCGTAACTCCTGTTTCTACCTCTAATATGTCTCTCTCTAGACCTTCATGCCTATGAAGGTGTCCTACCAACCTACATCGCCTATTTTTTATTGACTTCCATAGAGTCCTCTGTTCACTCATTCTTTCTAATACCGCTTCATTTCTAATCTTCTCTATCCATGTTATCCGCATCATTCGACTATAACACCACATTTCGAAAGCTTCTAACATTTTCCTTTCCACCTCGCCCACTGTCCATGTTTCGCACCCGTACAACGCTGCGCTCC